TATATATATATATATTGTAAAGTCAATATTACATATACAGTAGAATTCCCTTATATTAGCAGTAACATATCTGCTGAAACAAGGTAAAAACGTTGATTTGGCATATGCACCTGGAGAGCATCTGTGAACTACAGATATCTTCACCAAGTCTGTTATCCATTCTAATGTAAATCTATACATTGGACATTTTGGTATAACAGATGATCCAAGATAACGAGTAATCATAATGGACTGATTTATTTGGTTCCATGGTAATCCATTATATCAAGTTTTTACTGTAATATTTAAGAAAAAGTTCGGTTTTCATTGCCTCTCATTTGAATTTAGGAAGTCTCCGTATGACTTAAACCACAAAATCTTATAATCAGCAGGAACTTTTGAAGAACAAACCTGGGGGTTTAAATTATATTTATCCAGGTTAAGTGGCTACTAATCTGTTTGTACAAAATGAGTCTCAAGACTAGATTATTTTAAGATTTCAAAACTTATTTATTTACACAAATTCTCACTAACCTTTCAAAATCCAGACATCTTCAAAATAACAACAGAAGTCTTATATTTAATGATATTAACTGGAAACTTGAAATGAAAAATGTAAAATTTTTTTAATATAATGATGAATTGAAATACTCAGAATTGTTAATGAAAAACCAGTATAATTATGTCATAAATGAGAGTGGTTATATTTCTAAAATTAAAATAGCTAGCATTAATTTATTTTTATTTTTTTTAATTTTATTTTTATACAATTAGGAACTGCCAGTCAGCATAACATGTTCACCCCCAATTAACAAAAGACCCCAACAGACAGTGAAGAATGGATAAAACCAAAAAGTAACAAAGAATTAAAAAAATGATTTATGTAATAACACAATATATGTTAATGCATTAATGTATGAAAATTTAAAAGTTTATAATAAAAATATAGTGAAAACAATACAATAATAAAAAAATACATAAAAAGTTTAAAATAACTGTATATTAAAGTTGTTATAAGAATCGAACAAATATTGCATACAGAATTATCAATATAATAGAACAACAAAGAAAATAACATCTTTTTCTTACTAATTGACCAAAAAACTGAAAAAAGTTCTAATACATGACTGATATGAAATATTTTGACATTTTCTTTTAAAATGGATGAGACTTTTATGTAGTAAATGTTCTACTGGTTATATGTTTTTTTGCGATACGATAAAAAATAAATCTGTGTTATATTATTAGACATAGATGGGGATTGAATATACAAGAAAAATTGTGGGTAGATTGACAGGTTATTTTTAAATAAAACTAATGAGAAATAACCATTAAAATATTTATATAAAAGGATTCAATCAAAATATTTTGTGTGTTCTTTAAGGTTGGGGAGAACAATTTGTACATGAGCAACAGTAGGTCTATGAGTATGTGGTAAGGATTACATAATTTATTTAATAATAATTACAGTTTATCAAGTTTATGGAAAAGTTTGGAAATCAGTGATGGAGCAGCAATAGACAAAATTGGAAGACAGTAATCAACTAATGACTGAAAATTAGAAAAAAAATTGAGTGTAATATGGGTTTATGCAATAGTTTTACAAAATCTTTAAAGAATTGCAAGAAATTTTATCACAAACTAAATTTCAAAAATTATATTGATGATGATCATAGATTACATCAAGATCATTGAAAGAGTTGACATATCATAAAATCTGATCTCTTAAGTACAGTGATGGGAGGGGAGGGTTACAGAGCAAGGAGAAGCACATTACAACAGGTTTTTGTATATTTATTGTAAAGATTAACTTCATTGAATTTAGCAATAAGTTGATTTAAATCCAATTGTAGAGCGTCAGAATTGTGATTTAATAATTTTATGTCATCTGCATAAGCCACAACTTTAGACTTTAAATTGTCAATAGATTATTGCATTTAAGATCAAGCCTTTTGTACAATGCGTAGTGGCAAAAATTCTAAGAAAGAATCATAACCAATCTTAATTTTATATTTTCTGGATAAAAAGTAACAATGTAACCAGGAATGTATTGCTGGGTTGATGTCAGAGTGCTTAAAAGGATGCTAGGTATTACAGAATTGAAGGCTTGACTTAAATGATGTCTAATAGCTGAATTTAACGCAATAGATGCATGTTACTATATAATTTATTGATCATCATCTTTCACATTTTGAGATTTATTTGTAAGTAATTAGCAATTGAAATTGTAAATTTAAAAAACTTTTAAAAATTGTGAATTATATGGCTTATTTAAACAAAATTCTAACCATAAATGAGTTGTATGATTTGAATAATAGTGCAGACTATATACATCCATAATTACTAATAGCATTGTAGAAGCAGGTAACACATTTGAAAATAGAACAAGATCTGAATGCATTTTAATAAAATATAGTTAGAATAGAAATTTATATTTCTTTGAATTAAACTTTCTTAAAAATGTTCTAAAAGAATAAAATGTATTGCCACAGAATAAACACCAGTCATTATTGCATTGGTTATTTTTAATAATTTCTGTACAAATATATTACATTGAAACTTAAAATTGTCAAATTAAGATAACTTTGTTACATAAATTAAAGAATAACTCCTCTTTAAAATTTTATTTTCTTGGTGAATCTCTGCTAAGAGAATTTGTAGGTTGAATAGTAATCTTCCAATCTTTGTTTATTTAGCATAAACACACCAAACTTAGCTACAAAAACATCAATACACAAATACAATGTAAAATTTAAACTTTCAGCAAACTGACTAATCAGCTTGAAGTTTTGACACAATGACCTTCCCTTGTTTTACAATTATTTCCTTCAAAATTACCCATTATTATACATTGCCATTCCTAAAAGAATTAGACATTTGCTTGAATTTGGACATATTCACAAAATTATTATTATAAAAAGCCTGCCTTCCATTTTATTTTTATTTTATTATTATTATTATTATAATTTTTTTTTTCTTTAACAAAAGTTGGTTAGGAGTGAGTCTGTCTATTTTCTGTATCATATTGTTGGATGTAACTGTAAATGTTTCGAATATAATACATAAAATTTTTATTTTTAGTGGGTACCAGAAATTACTCATCATTGTCAGAAGACACCATTCTTACTGGTAGGGACACAGATTGATCTTCGAGATGATGCTGCTACCATAGAAAAGTTAGCAAAAAATAAACAGAAGCCAATAACTATTGAACAAGGAGAGAAATTAGCTAAAGAACTAAAAGCAGTGAAATATGTTGAATGTTCTGCATTGACTCAGGTAATCTTGAAATTTTATTTTATCTACTGTATCTGTATATTTTTGAATGTATCTGTTTGTCCACTATATAAATTAAAGGGAACTGTCTAGAGGGCTGAAAAGGGGTGTAATAGACAAGGTGTAATTTAAAATTACTAAAATGATACTTCTACTTGGTTATTAATCAAAATGTACTGATGTATAATCAATGAGACAGCCCAGTTTATGTTGGAACAGAAACTAGAAATTTTATTTATAACCTATACATAATTTCTGGGACATTGAGTACTGAGAATTCTGGTAATTTTTTTTGTGAAAGGGGATTCAAAGTTGTGATTCAATGTTTTTATGATTATTGTGCATAGCCCTAAAAATACAAAACTTAAATAAATATACAGTGGAACCTCGGTATACAACCTTAATCCATTCCTGATGTTTGGACTTATACCGAATAGGACGTATACCAAACCAACCTTTCCCATAAGAAGTAATGTAAAAATGATTAATCCGTTCTCATGTAAAAAAAGTGGCTGGCTTGAAACACCTCGCTTTCCTGGCTAGTTCCTGCTTGATTTTTCATGATATCAGCATGTATCTTTTTAGCTTTCTCGCAAATAATTGCTTTTGATACAATGTCTCCAGCACTGTTTTTCAGTTATCCAAAGCAAAAGCCTTTTCTCAACATGATCTAATGTCTTCGATCTCTGTTTAGAAATTGATTTAACCCCTTTCGCAATGTTATCAGATTTAATAATGTCTTTATTTTTCGCGATTGTCCATATCGTCGTTCTCGGAATACGGTAGGCAACAGTTAAAAGGCACCTTGAACAGGCAACCTTCAAGTTAACCTTGAACAGGCACCTTCATATTTCTCAACAATCTCTTTTTTCAGTTCCATTGTAATTCTAGTCATTTTTTTTAGTTTTATGTTGCTTCTCATTTGCCTTTTTGCAATTCATGATTAATAAAAATAATAAAATGTTACTTACAAATTAAAATCAGAAAAAATTTAACAAAGTTATAAACTGTGGCACTGCGAACGTCTAGTCTGATCTAGTACACCGGTAGTGCTACTTGTTCATAGATGGCGCGTATAATTGAATTAAGTCGTATACCGAACAAAAGTCGTATACCAAGCAAAATTTGTTTCATTCAAACAGGACGTATTCCGAATTGGACGTATTCTAAAGCAGACGTATACCAAGGTACCACTGTATATATATGTATTTTAGTTGTTCCTGTGTCAATCTAGTCACCATATAAACTTTGGTTTTATTATAGTTTTTGGTTTCATTTCATATCAAAATCAATTAATCAAGCTTTAATTAATTATGATTATTATATTCAAAAAATAGTTTTTAATGTTTTTCTTTTGGTCAAAATTAATTAAGGGATGCTGTAGTTTAACTCAACTTTACTGTAGTTTTGTTCTAATTTTATTTAAAAGTTTCTTTCAATAATATTCAAGACGGGAATAGAGATTTCTACCATTGTTTTGAATGTATCTTATCGTTGAATCTTGCCATAGGTATAAATTAGTGCATTTGTAAGTCTTACAGTAACAAAGGACCTTTCTAAATGAACAATATTTGTTCATAATGCAAGATTTTTTGAGAGTAAAGTTTAAAGATCTTAAATCCATTAGTCCCATGTTGTTTTTCAAAATATTTCTAGATTCCCTTTTTAAAATTTTGCTTGTTCATCCTAGTTAATGTTGGTGAACTTGACTGTATATACTTGTTATAGGTTGACTTAATGCTTATATGTTTGTGTTATTAGATGCTTCACTGGATACAAACATTGCACTATGTCATATTTCTAGAAGCCTACAAAGAAAGATTGGAAGTGGTCAAAGTTTCATGTATGTGAAATGGTTGTTGTATTGGGACCATTTATTCAGACAGTTGCTTTTTATGATATATTTTTAAAATATTCAGATTAAAATTGGTCATATTGTGAAAAAATATCATAAAAAGCAATTCTTGTTTTGATATTAACAGTTTACTTGCTTTTTAATCTGAATAACTCTGTCTCTATTTGCTAGTTAATTATCAAATGATTAAGTTAAAATATTCTCAAGACAAATTAGTGTTACAATCAGATAAGAAAATACATCTTTTGATTTCCAGCAATAGTTTTATACCATAAATGTTTTCAACTTATTCACAGGTCTTCCTCATAATCCTTATATTAAGTAGATAGATTTATTAAAAATAAGGACTAATTGAATGATAAATGCATTTTTAGATTAAAATAGAACAAAATACAAATTTACATATTTAAACAAATATAATATAAAATGTAAATAAAGTAAAATTGATAATTTAAAATTTTAAGATAAAAACATAAGTAAAAAATAAAAGTAACTAATGTAAGTGTCAAGTTCATGGTTCAAAAATACATTTCCATGCTGTAGATAGATTGCATCTGTAAAATTAATACACGTTTGTTTTTTGAGTTTTAAATACCTTATTACTTTGAATGTAAGAAGTGTAATTAGGGTGTGGCTTAAATTCAAAGCAAATATTTTAACTTATTTCTGCTGATCAACAATTGTGTCTTTGCTTTACACACTGTTCATGTGCATAGTATTATGATTGTTGATAGCAGTTTATTCAATAATGGAAAAACAGTTTACATAGCGAGTTTTAATAATAGAGGGCATGTAATGCCTACTTCCTAGTGCCAAATTACCTTGGCATTTAAAACTATTAATAGCAGTGATATAGCTTGATTTAATCCTGTAATCATTTGGCTTTAATATAATCATCAGACTTTGAGATAAGCATGAGGATTAAGTAAGTTAATTTGGTGCAAAATCCCCCACAAGAAAACTATTAGGTGTGGGAAATTTAAGCAGTAAAATTGCATTTGATTTTAATAATAAAATCTTGTTTGTATATATCATACTTGACATCAGATTTATAAATCAGTAATTGTCACAAGCTATATTAGTAATCAAATATTTTTTTTTTTATTCAAATTAAAGCTCATAATGCTTTTAAAAATATTTTATTAACATTTTTCTAATTTAAATTCATGGATTTATACAATGGTGATATGTTGCTTGCAAAAGACTCTCCTGTCACAAAAAATGAAAATTAAATTGTTTTCTACCTCATTAAAACATTAATTTATTAAAAATAGTTTGAATTTCTTTAAAAAAGAGGAGGAATTGACAATATTGACTATTATCATTGTTACTTTTAGGTTGATTGTGACATACTATTATTTTTATATTTGATCAGTTCAGATGTATTTAAGTTATAATGGGTCTTCTCTCTTCTTACAGAAAGGACTAAAGAATGTATTTGATGAAGCAATACTTGCTGCTTTGGAGCCACCGGAACAGAAACCCAGACGAAAATGCATCCTCCTATAGACTATTTATTCTCATTCTTCAATTTTATTGTGTTTTCTTCAGCCTCTATTCAGCATTGATGTAAAAAAAGAGAATTAAAAAAAAGACAGGTATTTACACCTGATAATTGTAATCTGCCTTGTCTGGAATAAGTTTGTCATGTCCTTAAAAATTATATTGAAAAAAGGAAATATATATTACATTTATAAATTTTGTTATGTCATCCATTCCCAAATTGACAAATCTTTTGGACATGGCTTATTTAATACAGCTGTACTAATTATAAACAATAAAAACAGATCCTGTATAAGTCTGCAGTTAGAGAACTGCATTAGTATATGCCATTTATACTAGGAGACAGGAAATTTTTTCATGGCTGATTTTTTTTTAATTGATTAATTTTTTTTTAATGTTATTTGGGGAATTATTTGAAAGAGGCAATTTATCTATTTGAAGGAGTTGTATGCACTCCATTATGTACTCCATGGGAGTGGGGGAATCTGAACGTGAGCCAGTCTTTTTTCGACGAAAAGACCATTAGAGCTTCACTAACTCCTGTTCCTAAAGTAACAATGGGTGTTGGTGATGCAGTCAATAACTTCTACGATTTAGTATGCAGTGACATATTTCAGTAATCATGCTGACAAACGTAAACACAGGAATTTATTACAGGTTGAAACTAAGTCACAGTATTTTTATGCTTACATATGTATTACCTTGCATCATCCTATCTACTGGGTCTTTAAATTTAATTAATATAATCTGTTAGCAATCAAAATTATGCTCTTGAGTGTGGTTATATATATATATAAATATAT